GTCACTGATTAGCTAATTCACAGTCAGATCAGTAGAAAATTTTCCAGACACACATTGATGCAATATAAAAACCTCTTGCCTTCTTGTCACTATGCCGAATCAGCGGACCGTGCGCACTGGGAATTAATTCTCACTCACATACTAAAGCTAAAGTACCACTGCTGCACTTCTGACAGAATGATGCTTTTGATTGGACACTGTGTTGTATCGATAGTTGTGAGATTAGTGTGTGTATGCATGTCAACAATGTGGTGAAAGCAAGGAAACGGCAAACAAATCAACTATTATACAACCAGGAAAACTCTTTTTTCAAGGGCTATGAGCTGCACTAAGTGGGATTTGAACCCACGACACTCTGCGGTCTAGGCGAGCACTTTACCAACTGAGCTACCAGGGCAATTCAGCTGGTAGCTAGGAGTTCAAATCATACAACATAATACAAACCTCAAATCACTGTGCTATGGCGCAGTATACTCTCACTCAGTACCATGCCAAAGAGAGTTTGAATTTGGAATTACTTTTGGGGAGAGAAAGTAGCGTACGAAGTCATTGCTGCGGCAGACACCTGACCTATAGTAGCTACTGTGTGTGGACATAAATACTCTGTTTACCTTTGACAGTAACTGTCCAACTTTCGGGATAACGCTGTTTCGTCAATAATTTTTGATGTGTTTGCTAACACACCCTTAGGAACTGAAAACACTTTCTTGTTAGCAGCACATGTATTATGGCATGTCACAATACTCTTGTATTATTATAGGCCACAATTTGAAAAAAACCTTTCAATACCTGTTATGGTACACAAAAAGGCCATTGTCTATAAACTTCTTTTCTAAGGTTCACCAACGTGCTGTATAGTCTCTCTTTTTCACACATTGGAAGATGTCTGCTTCACTTGGTGTGCTGTGCATTTTAGTGTTTGCGAGTGGAACACCAAAAGCATGTGAGAAAATGACAATTGTAATGCATAGAGTATGACCTACATCACCGTTGTGTTATGCCTTACAGGCAGTGAATATGTGAAAACGGATCATTTCTACGCAGAACTTCAGCCCAGAGGCAATATAATGACATTTGTTGGGAATACTATTAACTTCATCTGTTCCACAAATCTCCCAGCAACCTTCTCCCACTGGGAGATCAATAACAAGATGTACAACACTTACCTTCCACCTGGTTTTATAGCCAGGGGACCTAACATCGAAGTTACATTTCAAACCAATGTGATAATTCGGTGCTTTTTTAAGGTATCTTTGAATGGATCAATTATCAATATCTTCAGCAATGCTGCTATTGTTCTCTCACTGGACACAGTGTTGCAGCATTATCGTGGTTAGTATGTTTAGACAGATACATTTAGTTGGCAAAAATTGTACCTGCAGGTGTAAGAGAGAGCTTTTTCTGTGAAAAAGCAAATGTAACATTTGCTAATGATATGGAGGTCTCTAGGATTCATGTAGGAAGTGTATCTACTGGTGACAACTGCAAGCTACTGATTTCCATTTCACGATGTGGTGATACTGGTCTTGGAAGTAATGTAGTACTTGAGGTACCGGCTACAGAGAGTAATATAATAGCTACATTTGACTCTGTGGAGATGTTTTATGATCATGATGTCACAGTTGCGATAGATAATGATTGTGATTTCTGTGGAGAAACATATATTTACATACCTAACATGAAAACAACAGGTTAGTTTCTTTCTTTTTTAGCTATGATAATGATAATATCGACCGTCCGTTTTCTTTAGAGTCAAGATACATTCCCAGCCAGTACACAGGAACTATAATAGAAGATCTCACCAATGACTATTGTGACTTTAACAGTTTTGTCATCGAATACAGAATATGTGTATACTCAGGAGGGACAAATGAATGCTTTGAAGATCCATGTGGAAATGGTGAAATCTACACATCACGCTGTGGCACTCAGAACTTTGGAGCAGTCGTCAGTCTTGAAACTAATGGTGTTGAAAATGGAACAATAATTTCCATCTTCTGCTTTGGGATTGATTGCAGGGGAAACCCCAGTAATGTGATGGTGTTTAACGTCATAATAGGTATGTTTATTGATAGTTGGTTATGTACAAAACTGGTGACTGTTACTACAATGAAGATGATAAGAGTTTGTGCAAAAAACAAACGGTGAATCTTAGCTACTGTCTTACAAGCTAGACAATTTACATATTTACTTAAATATACTACAGGTGACATCTACCCAGTGTCAGTCATTAACACCACTCATGGTAGTAAATCTACATCTACTTCTAGCTTGTGGTACAACAGCTATCAGACTTCTGTTGCTGACATACGGCTAAGATTGACTCCAGCCACTTCAATGGCATTATCTAACTCCCTGGTTCTCACTACGTCCATAACTACTGCTGTGAAGACAAGCCCACAAGAACATCAAGACATAATTTGTAATCATTAATGCATTTCCACTCATTTTTACATGGCATTTCTGATCATACAGTTGGAGTTTCAATAGCTGCAGCTGCCTTGTTCATTCTGACAGCATTTATAATCACTGCAATTGCTGTTTTGATATACTGTAAGACTATAACAGTAAGATAACTGTCATTAATAATACTGTTTTCCTTTTTCCTTTGAGGTCGACAAAAGAACAAAGGTACATTATGAATTTTGTTTAGTTTTTTAGCTGTCCTTATTAACTATTTCTTCAGATGCAGAGCATAACAAAGAACGTCATGGTATAACATTATTAAGGTCGTTTATTTTCATTAATTAATAATTATGATTGCCATTTCTTCTTAGCTTATGAGGAAGTTTGTAGTGTGCCTGCTGCTCCAGTTCTACACAACAATCCAGCATACATAGCCCCTCAGAAGATGAGACTTGAAGAAAATCCTGCTTATGTGTCTACTCACAAGCCTTTACGTCTTCAAAGAGGTGTGTACATTATGATACACATAAACAATTACAAACTTTCATCAAAGCAGGCAACAGAGTTCTTGGATCAGATGGGAAATGAATTAGAACTTACTTAGATATTTTGTAGTCTTATTGGTCAGAACCACAGCAATAAAGGAGAACAGTTTGAGTGTACCAGGTAGCTATTGGTTTTTGTCATAGTACTGTATGAGACATGTGTCACAATTTCTTTACTTATGCGCATCCACAGGTCCGTATGTACCGCTATGATGGGCTGGGCAATGGAGCGGATTTACACACCGTCTCTCGCTTGCTCTCTGAGAGTTTTGACACGAGCGAGATAGCATCATAGGCGCCACAAGACTCCAAACGTATGCAAACATGCCTAAGCCAGTCGTAATTTGCAAATTGTTTGTTCCCTTGGTTTTCGCACTGTTACATCCAATTAATCTATACAATCATACGATCCATAAGCAAACACATGGCTTTAACACCATATCAGGCAATATATTTTAATTACATACACATGTTGAAGATACCATAATCGACATCTGTCGCTCTGACGTCAATTATGGTATCTCAGCCAGTGCAGCTAACACTGAACCCATTGGTGTCGCTCTTTGGCCAGCCGTGACTTGTGGCATGTATGTGGTGGCAGAAAAATTGGGTATATAGCGACAGAAATAATACTACAAAACACGAAAACCTCTCACTAACCCTTCTATATAGCTGCGCATGGTTATTAACAAACTGTCGAACTGATCTACATTTGTAACTAACTTTGAATACAATCACTTTGCATAATTATTTTAATTGGATTTGAGTCCAGCGTAGTTTGATTTATATAATGTCACAATCTCCTGAACCATTCAGAGATTGCTTATACAAGGAACATGGCCACTATACCCACAACTCAAACTAAGGCTCAGCATTATTGTATTTTTCAACTGAGAGCAGATTGTATGTCTCTGGCTAGAGTTCCCAGACTGGCATGTTGGAGATGGAGAACTAGTGCTCCCCAGGGACAGTCCTCATCCTCTGTAATCCACTTCTGGAACATGTCGTACACGACTCCATCGACATTGTGGGAGTGGGTCATCTCCAGAGTTCTGATCCTCTGTCCATCCCCACTCCTCAGTAGAATGTTCCCCAGGAGTGGCTTGTAGTCTGGCCCCACCCTCTGGAGTATGTTGATGTGTTCTAAAGTTATGGTGTGAAAACCAAGTGAACAAGCCAATATGTAAATTAGCACAGGCTTACCTCGACCGCGTCCGTTCGCTCTGTGTGTCTTGAAAGCACAACAAGTCACAACGAAGGGCATGTATCGACTCCCGCATGCTATTTACTACTGTAGCTAGCCCGTACCAGACTCTCCGCGAGCTACTAGCGGCATACCACGAGTAAGGCATAAAAAGCCCAGCTCATCAATTAGTGGTACCGCACATGCGCAGTTCGCCGAGGGTTTGCACTTTCATTAACCCTCGGCGCGCATGCGCAGCGAGGGTAACGGTAGTTGTCCCGTAAGTGTGTCTGTCTGTCTGTCCGTCTGTCCGTCTGTCTGTTATCACGTTTTCTGCCACCGCGCGCACGAAATCAGGTAAATAGCGATATGATCGGGTTCAGTGCTACACTGGGTTGATTTTAAATTCGTAAAACTACTGTGTTTTAAAGTTATGGCGTGAAAACCAGGTGAACAAGCCAATATGTAAATTAGCACAGGCTTACCTCGACCGCGTCCGTTCGCTCTGTGTGTCTTGAAAGCACAACAAGTCACAACGAAGGGCATGTATGGACTCCCGCATGCTATTTACTACTGTAGCTAGCCCGTGCCAGACTCTCCGCGAGCTACTAGCGGGATACCACGAGTAAAGGCATAAAAAGCCCAGCCCATCAATTAGTGGTACCGCACATGCGCAGTTCGCCGAGGGTTTGCACTTTAGTGCTTTTCATTATACCAGCAAGCAGTGTGAAGTGGAGTCCATCCCTCACTATTTCCAACACTGGGGTCACAGCTAGCTTCAGTCACCAGATACCTTACTACCTCCATATTTCCCATTCTGTGAACATGTTCGATAAATAATGGCTAAGTGTATGCAAGTTAATTTGAAAACCGACTAATGAAGAAATCCTCACAAGCAAGCAATGTGAAGAGAGTTCCATCCATCATTATTCCCAGCCATTGGATTACAAGACTCATCAGGTATCTCACAATACCCACTCCATTATATCTGACAAAAAATGATCAGCTAAGACCCTGCAAAAAGTAGTTAGCTAACTCACAAACAAGCAGCACGAAGACAATTCCACCCATGCTGATTTCCAACTTTCGGGTCACACTGACATTTGGTTTTAAGATACTTTACCAACTCCACATTACCACTTCTGAGCAAAGTAAACACAGTAGCCATATACAATCCAACAGAAAAAAGCAAAAGCTAAGATATTGTTGTATTGTTGTTGGTAAGGCGCTCTTATTGTTGCAAACCCACAATGAAACTGACAGAACGAATCCAATGCATCACTGGTGATCTAACACGTAGAGCATTACTGTATATCTGTGCGTATAGTGCCAGTCACAGAATTCAGACAACTAGGTAACCTCGTTTTTGCTATATCTTACAAGCAGGCAGTGTGAAGAGAATTCCTCCATCCTGTATGTTGATGTGTTCTAAAGTTATGGTGTGAAGACCAAGTGAACAAGCCAATATGTAAATTAGCACAGCTTACCTCGACCGCGTCCGTTCGCTCTGTGTGTCTTGAAGCACAACAAGTCACAACGAAGGGCATGTATCGACTCACGCATGCTATTTACTACTGTAGCTAGCCCGTGCCAGACTCTCCGCGAGCTACTAGCGGCATACCACGAGTAGCATACAAGCCCAGCTCAATACTTAGTGGTACCGCACATGCGCAGTTCGCCGGGGTTTGCACTTCATTAACCTCGCGCGCATGCGCACGAGTAACGGTAGTTGTCCCGTAAGTGTGTCTGCTGTCTGTCAGTCTGTCCGTGTCTGTTATCACGTTTTCTGCCACCGCGCGCACGGAATTCAGTAAATAGCGATATGATCGGGTTCAGTGCTACACTGGGTTGATTTTAAAAAGCGATTTTCGTAAAACTACTGCGTTTCTAAAGTTATGGCGTGAAAACCAGGTGAACAAGCCAATATGTAAATTAGCACAGGCTTACCTCGACCGCGTCCGTTCGCTCTGTGTGTCTTGAAGCACAACAGTCACAACGAAGGGCATGTATGACTCCCGCATGCTATTTACTACTGTAGCTAGCCCGTGCCAGACTCTCCGCGAGCTACTAGCGGTATACCACGAGAGTAAGGCATAAAAAGCCCAGCCCATCAATTAGTGGTACCGCACATGCGCAGTTCGCCGAGGGTTTGCACTTTAGTGCTTTTCATATACCAGCCGCAATGTGAAGTGGAGTCCATCCCTCACTATTTCCAACACTGGGGTCACAGCTAGCTTCAGTCACCAGATACCTTACTACCTCCATATTTCTCATTCTGTGAACATGTTCGATAAATAATGGCTAAGTGTATGCAAGTTAATTTGAAAACCGACTAATGAAGAAATCCTCACAAGCAAGCAATGTGAAGAGAGTTCCATCCATCATTATTCCCAGCCATTGGATCAACAAGACTCATCAGGTATCTCACAATACCCACTCCATTATATCTAAACCAATAACCGACAAAAATGATCAGCTAAGACCCTGCAAAAAGTAGTTAACTCACAAACAAGCAGCATGAAGACAATTCCACCCATGCTGATTTCCAACTTTCGGGTCACACTGACATTTGGTTTTAAGATACTTTACCAACTCCACATTACCACTTCTGAGCAAAGTAAACACAGTACAATCCAACAGCAAAAAGTAAAAGCTAAGATATTGTTGTATTGTTGTTGGTAGGGCACTCTTATTGTTGCAAACCCATAATGAAACTGACAGAACGAATCCAATGCATCACTGGTGATCTAACACGTACAGCATTACTGTATATCTGTGCGTATAGTGAAAGTCACAGAATTCAGACAACTAGGTAACCTCGTTTTGCTATATCTTACAAGCAGGCAGCGTGAAGAGAATTCCATCCATCCTCATTCCCAACCATTGGATCACAATGAGCACAAGATAGGAGATATCTCACCACATCCAAACGACCATTCTGTGTAACAGTAGCCATAATATATCGGGCTCAG